CTGGCAAGGCGCCAACACCCTGCAGGACCACAACCACCCAGACTATCCGGCGCCTGACCCTCCTCCAGCCCTGCCCCCGCATCCCGGCCCAGCCCCCGACCCAGAAGGCGTGGCATGGGCGGCTACTCACTGGCCAGGATGACCATGTCCATGCCCCAGAAGATGCTCATGATCCAGCCCACCATGACGATGGCCGTGAGGGTCTGGATGAGGGCTGCTGCGATGTTGAGCCAGAAGACACAGCATACGTGCCTGTCCGGGAGGTCGGTGCGGGCTCCACACAGCACAGCGAAGGCCGAGACAAACGTCCCTGTGAGAGGGGACAGGCTTCTGAGCGCACTGGGGGGCACAGCCACACGCGTGCTTCCGGACGGCCTGGGGCCCCGCTGCCCGCCCCCCCAGGGAAATAGGAGAGGGGCGGCCAGAGTCCAGCACCTTCCCACTCAGACCTGGCCCGCCTCTGATCCCCGTGCTGGGGGGCCGAGGCACCAGCCTGAGGACATGTGGATGGTTGGCCCCAGGCCCAGCACAGTCCTGGGGCCATGACAAGACGTCCCTGCCATAAGGGAGCCACAATGCAGCCCCCTGCAAGGACAGTGAACAGCCCGGGGGAACGACATCAACCTCTCGTGGCAAAGGCTGTAAAGGCCTAGCAGTTCGGAAGTAGGAACCAGCATCCCTGGGGTGACACGGAAGTTGCCCACGGAGATAAATTCAGGAAGTGACCCCCAGCACACTCGCTAATTGCGAAGGGACAGGCGCAGAGGCCCCAAGTGCCTGCAGAGCGGAGAGCGCAGGCCAGTGCCGATGTTTCAGAGACCCTTCTCTGACAGGGTTCCCCCAGACACCCCAGACCTGCTGGGGGAGGGACAGGGTGCCCAAGATTTATTGAACACTCATGACGCACAAAGCGACGTAATGTGTGTGACCAGGTCCCTTAGCTGGTAGGACTTCCCAGATCCCCACAGGTACCAGCACTATACTTACTGGCATTTTCCTGGAGCCAGGCTCTTTTCCTCCGTGGGCTCTGAGCCTCAGGGCCACCCTGCAGGGCAGCTGGCCTGCTCCCCATCCGTGTCAGTCACCCCGTGGCCACTGGCCCGCTCCCCGTCCATGTCGGTCACCCCGTGGCCGCCGGCCCGCTCCCCATCCGTGTCAGTCACCCCGTGGCCGCCGGCCCGCTCCCCGTCCGTGTCGGTCACCCCATGGCTGCTGTAACAAGTCACCACAACCTCAGTGGCTGAAAGCAACATAAATACACCCTCTTACAATTTGGGAGATGGAAAGTCGGAAATGTCCTCGGGGTCCTCCTGGAGGCTCTTTTCCTGCTTCCCGGGGCTGCCGCATGTATTGGCTCCCGCCCCTCCTCCACCACCCCTTCATCTTCTCTCCCTGACTCTGACCACCGGCCCCCCCGGGGAAGGACCATTTGAGCACATGGGCCCTCCAGATAATCCAGGTAAATCCCCCCATCTCAAGTCACGTGTGCAGAGCCCCCTCTACTGTGTAAGGGAACACTTGCACAGCCTCTGGGGTCAGGGTGTGGACACCTTTGGGGGGAAGCATTATTCTGCCCACCACACTAACATCCCATATTACCCAGGTGTTCCTCATGCTTCCACACCTGGGGTCTTGCTGCCCCAGAGAGACTGTCCCTAGAGCTAGTACGTGACCCCCCAGTCCAGAGCCCACCCCCCAACCACCTCCTTTATGGGCTCTCACCCTCTGGGCCCTTAGCCCCCCACCCTAATCGTTCAGGGCCAGATACTAGACAACCAGGGACAGCCCACTGAAATTATTCAAACGAGCTAGCCGTTAGCCGGCTTACCCTGCCTAGAGTGTTCCTTCCCTGGAAACCGCTATAAAGGCCCGCATTGCCCCCCGTGGCCTGCCCCCTGACCATCTCTGGCACCTCCTCATGTGGGGTCCTGCAGCATGGGGCACCCCTCCTCTGAGGAACTGTAACCAACTGTCCTTTCAGTGGCTGCCATTTCTGATCTGCTGGCCCCTCCATACCTAAACAGTAATAAAACCTACATTCTAAAGGACGCATACACTCGAGAATCGAGTATCCTGTCCAAGGTCACAATCACAGGCAGGCACGGACCCCACGGCCATGTGATGCCAGTGTTCTGTTCCTGCTGGTTCCCACTGCCTCCCAGGTGGGGACGAGCTGTGACAGCAGGTCCAGACGAGGGAGCAGTCCATTTGGGAAACCAGCCCGCAGACCAGCGACCATCCTCACGCTCCTCTTCCTGGATAAGCTCCTCCCTGTCTGCACTCTGGCTTCTGGCCCTTCCCTGCTCAACCCTGGTGGCTCCCGCGGCCTCCCCAGGTGGCCGAGGCACCCATAAGCCTCAGATCCAAGGCTGACGCCGGGGTGCATGTGCTGATTCCCGATCCCAACCCTGCCCATCCTCGTCCTCTTAACAACTGCCTCCAACTGTGTGTGTTTCTGCCTCCCTAGGGGCTGACAGTCCCCCTGAGACCCCAGGTGGCATCCCGACCACCCTCTGCCCGGGCCCCAGCACAGTGCGGTATACAGTAGGCAGAGGGGCCCCCGGCACGGTGCCATATACAGTAGGTAGAATGTGGGGGTCCAAAGAAACGCAACCAGTGTGAGGTGCCTCCTCAGACCACCTGCTGTCACCTGTGGTATTTGCTAAAACCACAGATGACTGGAGGGAGTGACGTCACCACGATGGCGACACAGGTCTTTGCTGACACCCCTCCCCTTCACAACAAGAACAGCTAACAACTGTTCATGAGCAAAACACCACTGAGAGGATCCCAGAAGCACCCCCTGCCCCACAGAGACCAAGACAGGCTGCACTGGGAGGGCCAGAGCCGCGGCTCCCTGCTGACCACCCTGCCCCTCCCCTACCCGCCCACCACCCAGAGGCCTCCCCTGAGCCTCTGGGGAAAGGGGAGGGGACAACCAGCCCTACCCCCCGGCATCGTGGGTCACTTCTAGGGACCCCTACTCTGATCTGGCTGCACAGGGAGATCAGCGGGGCCCGAGCACCGGAATCGGCTTGTGATGGGGGTGGGGCAATCCTCAACAATGGGCACAGATCTTGGGCACGGAGTTCACAGTGGCAAGGCCCAAGTCGTCATCCCAACAGTGGCCTCGCTCACCTGCGGAAGCACGTCAGTGACGCACTCTGACCAGGGGCCTAGGTGGGCCTTAGAGCCCGGCTTGCCCCACACAGGCAGGGAGCTGTCACCTGTGTGGGGAGGGTCTCCCAGCCACATGCGACCAGAGCGCGGGAAGGAACATGTGCAAGGAACATGTGCCGAGAGGCAGGCAGGCAAGCTAACCACCCCCAGGGCAAAGCCAGTGCCCACTGTGGAGGGTGTCCCTGCTCTGCAGAGGCTGAACTCATGGCCGAGGCTGAGAGTAGCTCCCAGCCCCTCCCAAATGGAGAGTCTGGGAAAATGAAAGTTGCCCGGAGCAGCCCCCCTACCCCCACCCAGACAAGGTATGAGACACAACCCTATCTGCCCAGAAGAGCTCCTGTGCCCTCTCTCTCTTTCCCTCTCCAATAAATAAATAATTTAAATATATATATATATATACATAGAGCTACAATAAGCAAACCAATATGGTACTGGCAAAAAAACAAACAAACCAATGGAACAGAACTGAGAGCCCGGAAATAAACCCAGGCATATACAGTCAACTAACCTTTGACAAGGACACTGAACGTGAGAGAAGACAGTCTCTTCAATCAGTGGCGCCGGGATAACTGGATATTCACATGGAAAACAATGGAGCTGGACCCCTACCTCACACCACTCACAAAAATTAACTCGAAATGGACCAAAGACTTAAATATAAGACCTGAAACCACAAAACTCCTGGAAGGAAACAGACACAAAGCTCTCCCGATGTGGGTTCTGGTGATGGTTTCTTGCATGTGACACCTAAAGCTCAAGCAACTGAAGCAAAAATAAACAAGTGGACAACATCAAACTAAAAATCTTCTGCACAGCAAAGACAACCTGTGGAACGGGAGAAAATATCTGCAAACCATACATTTGATAAGAGGTTAATCTCCAAAAAACAGAAAGAACTCATTGACTCAGTAGCAGAAAAACCACCCAATTAAAACATTGGCAAAGGACCTGAACAGACGCTTCTCCAGAGAAGACTTCCAGACAGCCAACAGACACATGAAAGGATGCTCAACATCACTCATCCTCAGGCAAATGCAAATCGAAACCACAGGGAGCTCCCACCTCACACCTGTCAGAATGGCCATGATCAAAAAGATAAAAACACAAGAGATACCCAGTGTTAGCGAGGATGTGGAGAAAAGGGAACCCTCTTACACTGTCGGTGGGAGTACAAACTGGTGCAGCCACTCTGGAAAACAGTATGGAGGTTCCTCAAAAAACGAAAAACAGAACGACCATATGGTCCAGCAATTCCATTTTGGGGAATATATATATAAAAAAAGAAAACAATTCAAAAAGACATCTGCACCCCATGTTCACTGAAGCATTATTTACAGTAGCCAAGACACGTCTATGGATGGATGAACAGATCGAGACATCGTGGTATAAATGTGCACAATGGAATATTATTCAGCCATAAAAAAACGAGGAAGTCCTACCACTCGTGACAACATGACGCCTTCATTACGCTAAGTGAAATAAGCCAGACAGAGAAAGGATCTCACTGATGTGTGGGATCTAAAACAACAAACAAACTCAGAAAAAGAGATCAGATGTGTGGTTACCAGAGGGGGGTGGGGGGCTGGAGGAAGGGGTCAGAGGGTCCAAACCCCAGGTGCATGGTAAGTAAGCACTGGGGGTGTTGCGTAGCCGACATGCTGTGGGGGAAGCTAAAATCCTGAGTTCTCGGGGCGCCTGGGTCGCTCAGTCGTTGAGTGTCTGCCTTCGGCTCAGGTCATGATCCCAGGGTCCTGGGATTGAGCCCCGCATCAGGCTCCCTGCTCAGTGGGAAACCTGCTTCTCCCTCTCCCACTCCCCCTGCTTGTGTTCCCTCTCTCGCTGTGTCTCTCTGTCAAATAAATAAATAAAATCTTTAAAAAAAAAAAAAGAAGGAAAAGAAACTCTGTCCCTGAGCTCAGAGGTTCTCAGAGTTAGAAAGCCATCTCCTGTCTCCTGTCAAAAGATGGACCCTCACCAGAATCACCAAACTGATTAGAGGCCGCTGGGCATCTGCATGCACCTGTCCACCTGCCACTGGGAGAGCATGACCTGACGCACCTGCCGCTCAGGGACACGTGGAGCTGTGACACATGGCGACACCAGCAAAGACCCAGGCTCTTCTGCTGGGAG